CGATGGGGCTTGGCTGGGCCCCACTGGCCGCTGGGCAGAAACCTGGGATCTCAGGGAGCAGTGTGCAGGGGCCAGGGTCAGAGGGGTCATGGGCAGCAGCTGTTTCTGAGACCTCCCAGTGGCCCCTTGGTCTGGGCAGCTGCAAGGCCTCAGCTGTCAGGCAGGCTCTGGGTGGGGAGGAGCCTAGAGCCCCGGGAAGAGGCGGCGCAGGATGGGGGAATTCAGAGCCGGCAGTGGTCCAGGTGGGTCCGAGGGGAGGCCAGCCCCTAGACCCCTGGGCATTTCCAGGGCTGACCCAAGAAAGCAGCAGTAGGCATGGTCGCTCGGGGACTGGAGACCCAGAAAGACCAAGGGCGGTGACGGAAGGGCCCAAATGCCTGAATGCAGCTGGGAGTCTCGCCATGAACAACCATGGGTGTCTTCCAGTGGTCTCTCTAGCCAGAAATCCCAGCACCTCTCTGCTGCCACCCCTCCTCTCCCCTGCCCCCAGGCCAGTCCCACCCTTTGCCTTGTTGATCGGTGATGCTAAGTGCAAGTGTTGGCCAAAGTTTTCTCCATGGCACGATCTTGCCCATCCCTCTCTCGGCCACCCTCCCAGCGCCTCCAGTTCCGTGGCTTTTGACTGCTGTGACTCCCACATCTACCCCTCCAATGCCCAGGTCTCACTGGAGTGCTGTTTCCAGTATTCCAATGGCCCACTTGGTGCCCCTCTTCCTCCCAACCTGCCCCAACAGATCCAGGCTCCTCCCCTGAGCCCTTCTCTGCTCAAACCACCCCTTTGCTACGTGCTCCTAGATACTGGGGCTGCACCTGGGACTCCTCTTAAGTTGGTCCTTGTTGGGTGGTCAGGGTGAGGCACAGGGGGTGGGAGGCAAACCCTTCCAAGATTCTCTGGGGCAGAAAGAATCAGGTCCAAACGCCTTAGCAAGACCATGGTCTGGCTCTGAAGCACCATTCCAGGTCCATCACTGCCTCCCTTCCCTCTTTCCCTCTGTCCTTCCCTCTTTTCTTTTACCCGTCTCTTGCCCTCTGTCCCTCCTCCCTCCCTCTCTTTGCCTTGTCTTCCTTCATAAATCTAAAACCCCTCCCCATTCCTAGGAACATACCCAAGATAACTGAAAACAAGTGTTCACAC